GAGAGAAGAGAGTGAATTCACATAATTTGTTAAACGTGTACAGGAATTTTCAATGCCGTTTCCCTTTAGTGGTAATCAAACAAAAGAGTGACTTTCAATAAGTATTATTTATAATCTATATTGAATAAAAAAGTTTCTGTTTCTGTTTCTGTTTCTGTTTACTGCACACGTGTATGCTACAATGTTAGCATGTGCAATGTAAACTACAGTTATCGTTTATTGCAATTTATAATTTAGTTAAGACGACACCAGGAATCTACCGCAGGATGTTTGCAAGTTATTAAATGTATGACAAGCACCCGGACCCTCGGCTATCAGAGAGACATATCCAATCATTGAATAAATGAGAACTACTCGACATATTCAATATATAGATATAACTATACATTGAATACGTCTTATGCAATCATACTAGCTGTGGCGGATCTTGAAGGTTGGTACCAATTATATCCAAGAAAATCTATGAGCGACGATAGAATAAAATAAGGGTCAAACTGGCTCACCTGATGGTAAGTGACTACCGCTGTCCATGAACAACTACAACACTAAAGAAATTGCAGATGCGTTGCCGGGCTTTAAAAGAAGGATAGACTCCTTTTTGTTTTTTTTTGTTTTATATAGAATAACAGTGACAAACGAGCACACAGTCCACCCGATGGTAAGTGGATGCTGTGGCCCATAGACACCTACATTTGTCCTCGATTAAGAATCAAAATGCAGATGCGTTGAGATGAAGGTCTCTTTAAGATTTCGTTGTAGCCACGTGAGCGTGTTCTAAACTATTGAGGTTAATACTGAGGAAGCCTAATTCGGTTTTAATGATAGATATAGCCCTTTCGGTCAAGGTAACTGTGACGAGTGTTATTTATCTGTGCAACTTGAAAAGTCCATTTGATAATGGCGGAGAAACAATTATTTCTTTGTAACCTTTGTTTGGGTTGGCATATTTTTTTTAATGTGTAAGAAGTAAACGAGCATGCGGCTCATCTCATGATAAGTGACTACCACCGCCCATGAACGTGTGCAACACCAGGGGAATTGTAGGTGCGTTGCCTGCCTTTTAGAAAGAGCTTACTCTTTTGGAAAACTCTCATATGAAATGCTTGTTTGATTTACATTGGTAATTTCGAAATTTTGAATTAAGAAGCACAACAGTTTTATTTTAATACGTTATATAGGCCGTCACTTTAGTTTTGCTTTTACTGTCAACATAAAGTAACTTAACGGTCAGCCACCAGGTGTGGATCTTAACTATTTAATTTTTAACGTTTTAGTGTAATAGATTACATTGCGGAAAGTAACGTCTGATTCTATTGATTAGGTATATAATGTCGAATTCCTAGGACCATTACGTAATAGGTTTTGACAGAGAGAAAACACAAAGAGTTTTCTACTCGTTTATTCGATGGACGCGTATGTTTTCTTTTATACAAGTTCGCCAATTTTAATGATCTTTTTTTAAATAAGCTACACTTCAGGATTGACCCCATAAAAATTTGTTGAAAAACTTCCATCCTTAAATGTGGGGGAAAATAGGGAATAAAGATATTAATTTAAATTGTTACCTTGAACTTATGGCTACTCTATTGGGTAAAAAATAAACTTTCAATAAAAAGTAACTTAAAGTTTTAATAAAAAAGTTTTTACAAAGTGGTAGATACATACTGCAGCTATATTATGGTTGTAGTCGACCGGGGGAGGACCACGCTCTCTCAGAATACCATCGTAATAGCAGCTTAACGCTGCTGTGTTTCGTATGGTGAGTATAGAGAACCGGAGACCCTTTTTAATTAATACGAGGCATTCTATCTTAGCCCTCACGGGTACGGTACTGATAAGTGATGTCTGCGGCCCATAGACATCTAAATCCATCCTCGATTACAAATCATAATGCAGTTGTATTGCCACCCGTGAGAACTAAGATGGAATGCCTCGTTTCCAGTAATTAGAAAGGTCTCCGGTTTCCTACACTCACCATACGAAACACAGTGGCGTTCAGCTAATATTTTACGCTGGTATTCTGTGAGAGCGTGGTCCTTCCCCGGTCGAGCCGACCCATTCGTGCTACAACTACACTACTAATATAGCTGCAGCATGGCTTCACCACGTCGAAAAAGGTGAAAATTCTTTTCAGTATTTTAAGTTGGTTTTTATATTTTATTAAAAAAAATCATTTTATAGTGACCAATATATTGCTGAAATAAAAAAGGCCATACGATTCTCTTTGAATATTAATTTCATAATATAAAATAAAAAATTTTGTACAGCCGACTTCAATATAAATTAATAAAAATTACTCAAAAACTGCTGGTCTGACCTTGATCAATTTGATATGGGACCACATGTGAAGTACTAGCGTACTTTCAAATAAAAAAAGAATCATCGAAATCGGTTCACCGAGAAAAAGTAATGAGCTAACACATAAAAAAAAAACATACAGTCGAATTGAGTACCGTCTCGTTTTTGAAGGCGGCAGAAAATGCGTTCGACTGCCAAATGAAGCAGGAATTCGGCAGTTTTTCTGGTCATCGCGAGTAGCAGCTTAAACGGCAGAGCGATTTTAACGTAACGTTTTTGGTCGTTTCTGCGTTCTACGTTCATTTCTTTTGGCGAAACTGAGAATGTTTGTTATTCGTAAAATGTATTATGAGAAACATAAAAGTATATGTACTAACAACGCAGTTTTAAAATTGCGCAAATTTAAATGGCATCTGAGTAGCTTTCGTATGTTCATTTTTTGTGTAGCTGATTATTATTATCGACTCCATCGAGTCAGTAATTCATTCTTGGGGCGATGTATACGCTTTTACAACAAAATTCCAGAAAATATACAAAGTTTGGCCTGTTCAAAGCTCAAAAACTTTATTAAACTAAGTTTGTATAAAAAGGGTTACTATAATATTAAGGAATTTATGGATGATAATAACCCCTGGAAATGAGGTGATCGCTACGAAGCTATTTCTAATTTGTTGTGTTGTTAATTTGTGTAACATCATGATTGTAAGCTGTTATTTAAAAAAAAGTCCCGCTGGGTTTCTTGCTGGTTCTTCCCAGGACAGAGGTTTTTTCCGAACCAGTGGTAATCAAATAAAAGAGTGACTTTCAATAAGTATTATTTATAATCTATATTGAATAAAAAAGTTTCTGTTTCTGTTTCTATTAGTGACTGTATTTGTTTATAGAATTATGATGCAGATGTTTTGTTCATCCCTGAGGACTAAATGGAATGCCTCGTTTCCAGTAAAAAGGATCTCCGGTTCTCTACACTCACCATACAATACACAGCAGTATTAAGCTGCTATTTAACACTGGTATTCTGTGAGAGCGTCGTCCTACTGCAGTCGAGTCGAACCATTCGTGATAGGAATGGTTCGACTCGACTGCAGTAGGACGGCCGTAGTAAGGCCCTTTTTACTGGAAATGAGGCATTCCATCTTAGTCCTCACGGGTGACGACGCATCTACATTTGGATTTGTAATAGATAGATGTAGATGTGTATGGGCCGCAGCAGCCACTTACCATCAGGTGGACTTTGTGCTCGTTTGTCACCCTTATCCTATCAAAAAAAAAACGACCATAATATATTTGCAGCGTGGCTCTACCACGTATAGAAGTAAAAATTTTGCTGTTCACTGTGTCATTAGTAATAAGAGATAAGTTTTCGAGTATAAGTTATTATATAATTTGAATTTGTTATATATATTTGTATTATCCCCGTACCGCTGGACACTGTTCACAGGCTAATTGGTACAGTCTTGAATTTTCGACACTTTAATTTATCAAGTGTATCCCATCAGTTAATTTACCGTGGTAACCTCGAAAGAGTAAAGTAAAGCTGTTGGGTCCTAGGCCTGATCTCTGTCCGGTCGTGTCGAATTGCCGTCCCGTCGGACTATACGAGTGAGGGAATAGAGATAGAGAGCGATGGTTAGTTTGGACGACATTATTATATTAATGTGTTTAAATCTTTACAAAAATATTTACTTACAATTTTATTGTATCTTACATTATTGTATTTATTGCAAATTATTTCTAATTAAAAAAATACGATTATTATAATGTTATCGCCGCTTAACTCTTTTAATTTGGAGTGTCCAATCTTTTAACTTTGTAACAATTATTGTAATCGGACACCTAAAAGGAAGACCTTTGTCAAATAAGAAGTGCTGTGAAATGTAGACATTTTATTTAACCTAAAGCACGGTCGCGGAGCAGGAATTTTTTTTATTGCTTTGCATTTTTAATCTTAACTCCCATCATAAAAAGCTTTATTTATATTGCGGCTAAGATAGTTTTAGGACCTTTTTAACAGTATTTGTGATTCGAAAATCGAGTTTATTCTCTAGTAATTAAAGTTCACATTTGTATGATTTGTAATAATATGCTAAATTCTTCCTGCTCCGCGATCACTCCATAGTTGATGTTTGGAACGCGCAACGACGGTGTAAATGTATGAAATGCATGTAATTACAATCAGTAAGTGCAATAAAAATGTGTGGTTGCTAACCTACCTGAGGTAATCTATGAATTAAGGACAAATGGTAAATTAAAAATTTTGTACAACCGACTCCAATATAAATCAAATGGCAAATTACCATACCATCATCAATGTAGTCGAAGTCAATCAAATACGCATGGGATATGGGACCACACTAGAAGCACCGGCTTTCAAATAAAAAGAATCATCAAAATCGGTTCACCTAGAAAAAAGTTCTGAGGTAACACACATAAAAAATACAGTCGAATTGAAAATTTTCTTAGTCTGTTGAAAACAATTAGTGATTACGTTTGTATTTTACGCATTTTCCGACGTTTTCTTAGAATTGTCGTCCGCGGATATTTGAACGTAAAGTGGTATAATTTAACATTTTGTAAGCCGCTATAAAAATGTCATCTGTATTATGTTTTGTGCTAAGAACTATGTTTCAAAGTTTCGTTCATTAAATTTTATAATTTGTTCGCATCATTGTAAACGTGCAAGTAAACTTCAAAACACTCACCATTGTTTCGGTGTCGTGTCAGCTAGTGAGGTAACTCGCGCGTGTTCGCTGTCGAATCGCGTTGGGAACTGAGAGCGGCCGCTAAAAGCGTGTAGTGCTGTACTACGGTTGTTATTACGACTGGCTGTTATCGATGTGTCCTTTAATTATATCCATTTATGTATCAATTAGTCATTATTTCACCGCTGTTGCTTTTCCTGTTTGGTATATATCTTTTTTATAGTTTTGTAATCGGTGTGTGTCGGCGGGTGATGACTAACTGAGTGGAATAATCTACCGGCGTCTGTCTTTCCGATTACAATCAGGGCGTCTGTAAGGCAAGAGTGAATAGGCTTTTGTTACGCTTAGACAGTATGGCTAACTATTCAGTTTTTCATTACGTCTTAGAACCAAATGGGATTGTAGTCAAGCACTGGCCTATAATAAGTAAAAAAAATGGAACAGATTTACTCTTTTATCGCTACTCGTATGAGAAAGCTCAGATATTCAGTGAGAAATAGAAAGGGCTACCTAAGAGTTATCTGCGTAATAAAATCCACAATAAGAAGATCTGCAGCGGAACATGGGTTATTGACATAGTTTGACGTATCAGTTAGCTGAAGTGGCAATGGACTAGCCATATAGATCGAAAAACTGACTACCGATAGGTGGGAAAGAAACCCTCGAGTAGAAATCTCGTAACGGCAAGTGCAATTTAGGTAGAGGGCTCGCGTTGAGATCAAGTGACGATTTGACAGGTCATAGACTAATGATGTTACTCTGACCGATTACCACACAACAGTCTCCTAAGCGGTGACAATTCGCGAATATTGTCGGGAACCATCATAAGTATATGTATTATGCGCGCAAATGTATAAACAAGCACTCCTTATTATAAATAATTTGTATGCGGTGTATGACAAGATCTGGATGCGGATTGAGTAATTTTAGAGATACTGGGACAATCTGTTTACGAGGGCGGCACTGAAAATTTCGGGAATCTAAGAAGTAACACAACATTACTATTTAAAAATGTATTTATTGCTTTTCGAAGTATTTTCCGCGAAATTTGACACATTTTTCATACCATGGAACCAATCATTGAAGCAACCATTCCATTTGGAAGTTGGGGTCTCCAAAATGGCCGTTTTGTAGGCGTCCACAGCTTCTTCAGGTGATGAAAATCTCTGTCCACGCAATTTATTCTTTATTTTAGGGAAAGTATAGAAATCATTAGGGCTTAGGTCGGGGCTGTACGGCGGACTGTCTAATAATTCTATGTTTTCTTGCTCTAAAAACTCTTTTGTTCTGTGTGCGGTGTGAGAACTCGCATTGTCGTGACGGAGGATGATGCGGCGGTTGCATTTCTCTTTACGGAGTTCAGAAACGACCTGTGGCAAACAAGTGCTAGCATACCTTTCTGCATTAACCGTTCTTTGCCCTCAAAAGGAAGTCGTAACATGGCCGGTTTTGGAGACAAACGTGGCCACCATTTTTTTTGCAACACGCCGTGAACGAACAATTTTTGTTGTATTTAACTCATTTTCGAACACCAAAACTCGTGACTGGTTTTTTGTTTCGGGTTCGTATGCGTATATCCAGGATTTGTCACCCGATACGACGTTGTATACAGCATTTGAGGATCCCGCGTGGAATTTTTCGAGAGTTCTGACGCACCAAGTAACGCGAGCCGCTTTTTGCTCTTCACAGAGCGAATGCGGTATCCATCGGGAGAACAACTTTTTTACACCTAATTGTTCATGCAAGATTATTTGTATTTGACTCATGCCAATGTCTAAAGTTGCCTGAATTTCGCGGTATGTCACATGTCGATCTTCCTCAATCAGCTTACGCACAGCATCAACGTTTTCTTGGGTGACTGCAGTTTTTGGACGACCTTGACGGGGATCGTCACTGAGCTTGACACGTCCTCGTTGAAATTCAGCAAACCAGCGATAAATTGTGGTTTTGGATGGGGCGAGGCAGTCGGGAGTCCATGTAATATCTCGAAATCTCACTATCGACTGCGAAAAAAGGTTGTCTAGTGGTAACCTCGTTACTCTAAGTGAAGTATACGGCGGCCCCTTTATAGATGGTGTGGCGACTTAGCAAGACATCAAGAAGTCGGTAGATGCAGGTAGCTAAGGATCGTCATTTATGGTATTCCTTGGGGGAGGCCTATGTTCAGCAGTAAGCTTGTTAATGCTGTAATCATGATAATGATTGACTTTCGAAGCCAGAACCTGAAACACTGTAAATTACTCTGACAGTACTAAGCGGTAGGACTCTTTCTGCCTAAGAGGCAGTTTAGTTAGCTACCACAATTTTTTTATAGAATAGGGTGACAAATGAGCACACAGTCCACCTGATGGTAAGTGGTTGCTGTGGCCCATAGAGATCTACATCTATCCTCGTTTGCGAATCAAAATGCAGATGAGTTGTCGCCCGTGAGGACTAAGATGGAATGCCTCTGTTCCAGCAAAAAGGATCACCGGTTCTCTACATTCACCATACGAAACACAGCAGTGTTAAGCTGTTATTGTGGTCCTTCCCCGGTCGAGCCGACCCATTCGTGGTACAACTATACTACTAATATAGCTGCAGTATGGCTGTACCACGTATAAACTACTCTTACCTATTTCTGCCGCCAAGTAGCTGTCTCTGCATTGCTGTGTTTTAGTTTGAACGGTACAGAGAAGCAGTATAAGTAAGGCCTGTAAGGCATTAGTCGTTAGGGGTATCAACGCATCTGTAGCTTCCTTTGTATGAAGACTGCTATAAGTGACAGACTGTGATAATCACTTACCATTAGGTGGACGGTATGTTTGTTTGTCACTTAATAAAATAAATAAAAAAGTGACATTAATGCTAAAACGTTGCCAGAGCTACTAAAATATGTTACTATTAAGTGCCATGTTTTAAAATCGCATTCTCTTAAATTGACGTCAATCTTTATGAGTGTGGCCATTAATGTAAAAATAATAAGTATAAATTTTATGTTCTAATGTTTAGCTGTGAAATACACAGCGGTTAGATTTGCATAAGTTTTAAAAACTTATAATATTACTAAATAGTGGTCGAGATAGGCTTATCGATTGTAATAGTTTTATTGTTGTCGATATATCGTAACGTCACTAGTTTAGTCGCAAAAATATAGTCGCCTTATCATGGGTGACGTAATCGTTGCATATACCAGGAATTGCACGGATTGGATGAGACTGGCTGCTGTCCCTTATCAAAACACTGTAAGGGCTTATAACTAAATTTTACATAAAATCACAGAAAACATAAATTGAAATGCCCTTGAAAATTTTTATCATAAGTTAAAAATTAGAGTTATAAAATAATAAAAACATAACGTCATAAGCATTATGATAAATTAGCGACCCGCCCCGATTTAGCCTGTATTTTTACAATTAAAGATTATTTACTCTTTAATTGTTTATTTATATAATTAAAGATCATTTAGTTTATCAATGTTTCCTTTTTTTTATATGTCCAAATTTTTTGAATCCAATATAGTCTAGATCACTCCTAGCTTTGCTTTCAAACTATTCGTGAAGTTTCATTTCAATCAGTTCAGCTATTCCGAAAATTATCCCAGACAGACAGACTGACAGACAGACAACTTTTAAAAAAATGGTTGTTCATTATTACATTACACGCAAATAACCCTCTACGTTCAATAAAAGGCAATTATTTCGATATTGTAGAGTATACATATATAGATGACTAGCAAGTCTTAGGTATTAAATTGATTAAAGTGCCTTATCATGTTTTTGACTGATTATAAAGCACTAGTGCATTTTTAGGTACTATAGCTATCGACATAGAGAAATGGAGTCGCGTTCTATATGCAGTATACGAAGTACCTCCAAATGTCCTTTAAATGATGCACGCACAGTGAGTGTGTTAATATCCCCCCTTTACTTAGGTTATCACCCGACTGAAATGAAGTTTAAAAGGGGGGTAATATTACTAACAGTGGTAGAGCCACGCGGCAGCTTTTGCTGTCGCACGGATGGGCCGGCTCGAACCGGGGTGGTACCACGACCTCACAGAATACCAGCGTGAAGTAAGAGGTTTACCTCTGCGTTTCGCTTGGTGAGTGCAGGTGGCCGGTGGCCCTTTTTACTGGAAATGAGGCATTCCATCTTAGTCCTCACGGGTGACAACGCATCTGCATTTTGATTCGTTATCGAGTATAGATTTAGATGTCTATAGGCCACAGCAACCACTTACCATCAGGTGGACTGTGAGCTCATTTGTCACCTTCATCCTATAAAAAAAAATATTCCTGGCTGGTATTTGTATATGTCCATTTAATGTCCGGACGTAACTTTTAAGCCAGTCATCGGATTTTATCATGTGATATCTCAATCGATTTGTTATACTTGAGCGGGCAACATAAACTATATGACATCATGACAATTATACATGAACCGCTTTATTACAAAAGGTATTAAGTAATTATGTTGTCTCAGATAGTAGTTAGTCCGTGCAACATATTAGATTTAAAATCAATCAATAAAAATTTTTTTATAGGTTAAGGGTGACAAACAAGCACAGAGTTCACCTGATGGTGAGTGGTTGCTGTGGCCCATAGACATCTATGTACATTTATCCTCGATTACGAACTAAAATACGGATGCGTTGTCACCCGTGAGGACAAAGATGGAATTCCTCGTTTATAGAATATTCGAAGTATAGAATTTGTCTAAAAAAAATAATATTAGATACACTTTTATATTAGGAAGATCATTTCGTTCAGATTATTTGTTATTCCTTATTTGATGTGGTAGAGCCATGCTACAGTTATATTATAGTTGTAGCACGAATCGGACGGCACGACCGAGGAAGGACCACGATCTCACAGAATGCCAGCGTAAAATAGCAGCTTAATGCTGCTATGTATCGTATGGTGAGTGTAGAGAACCAGAGACCCTTTTTACTGGAAACGAGGCATTCCAGCTCAGTACTCAGGGGTGATAACGCATCTGCATTTTGATTCTTAATCGAGGATAGATGTACATGCCTATGGGTCACAGCATTCACTTATCATCAGGTGGGCTATGTGCTCGCTTGTCACATTTATTCTATAAAAACAAAAACTAAGTTACTTGTTTGTAATCATCCAAAGGCTTATATTTTACTGTTTTATTTGTTGTTAAGATTATATTTTAATTCCTTGTGTCCTTTACCAGGTTTTGATATGAAACAACTGTTATAGTGCGCGGTGACCCGGGCCGCCCGCGATGTTTAGGAGCACGTAGGTTCACTGTGTAGGTATTCGAATGTCAAGGTCGACATTTGACGCTGCAAGCTACCTGTTTTTTGGTTTGAGGACCTTACGGCTTGGTGATTACATCAACTGAGTATTCTATCGTAAATTTCAGGTTCGAATCGCATCTCGACCAAAATATTAGTGTCCTTTTTTATTAAATTCAAGTGTGATTACTCCAGTCCATAAGTTCTAATGAATTTGTATTTTTACTACTCCAGCCCATGAACAGTCAAATTTAAAAATGGATTGGTTACTACCCCTATAGAAAGTAAGACCGGTGGATATAATATCCACAGTAGATAAAATGGGAGATAGACTCAGATAGATTTTTCGTATGAATATAAACTTAAACCCACGTCCAATAAACTAGGATAAAATTGTCCCTTTCAAATGTCAAAAAAGTATAGTTTTTTATCTTTCATTTCGCTCCATGCTACGGACGGGGGATATATGTTTACTCGTTATGTCAAACGGGGATATACTTCTAGCCGTTGCCGTGCTTTGGTTTAAGGACAAGATAATTTTATCTCTTGTCAGTGGATATAATCGGGGGATAAATATTGTCCCTAGCCCGTGCTAGCCGTACTGCACTATACTTCTGTCCTGCGCTCATATGGCTAGTGTCCGTTGAGACAGACCGCCGTGACCGAAATTCGAACTGGAGGGCATAATATAATTTGGAATAGCTGTCGGAGCCGAAATCTCGAAAAATAATTTAACATTAAAAATTTTGTACAGCCGACTTCAATATAAGCGACTTCAATATAGGTTATTTAAGAATAACTCAATAACCATTGGTCTGACCTTGATCAAATTCATATGGGACCACACGAGAACTATCAGCTTTCATATAAAAAAAAAGAATCATCGAAATCGGTTCGCCCAGTACAAAGTTAATGAGGTAACACACATTAAAAAAAACATACAGTCGAATTGAGTACCGTCTCCTTTTTGGAAGTCGGCAGAAAAATAGCTCGTAAGCTTGATTATATTTTGATGTGTCACAGTTCACAGATGTGGTTATATTTTACAGTATGTGTATTGATACGGTTTTAGACACATGTGCTATTGATTTGTCGGGCACGATCAATTATAAGAAACGTCTGTTTTAAAATAACTATGTTAGATAGTTTCGATTTCAGAAACTACTGCTGCTGTAAAGCTTCTCATATACATATTTATGTGGCGCTTAATAAATATCTAAAAATCTAAAGAACATTGGATCAATTACATCAAGGACCCCTCTCACCATTCGGTGATCGCTGCCGGTTTTCACCCTCGCGATCACTGAGACATCACTGAACAGTTGTCGTCTGGTCGTCATAATGAAGTCAATCTCAATTTTTGTCGAACCATCGGCGCTCGACCAGGTCCCCTTCCTGTGGGACCGCTTCTGGAAGAAAGAATTCTTCATAAAGAGTCCCTCTTTCTCCATGAAGTCGGCCAGCTGCTGGCCCCTTGAGTTCCGTTGCCCTATTCCGAATTTCCCTACTTTCAGCTCACCGTTCTCTCTTGTGCCTAGTTTTGCGTTGTAGTCTCCCATTAACACCGTTTAGTGGGTTTTGGAGGAATGCATGGCTCTAGAGATATCCTCATACGTTTCCTCCACCTCCTCATCGGGGTGTGCCTAGGTTGGTGCATGGTCCCATTTAAATTAAATCGAACCCACAACTATTTATACTAGATTCTAGTAGCTTGTGATATTGCTATTGCTAAGTCCAAAGTGATAAAGAATATATAGACTTGAATAAAATAAAAAAATATTTTCCTCATAATATCTTCCTGTATTAAATGCTTTAGAAGCTGACTGCGAATTCTCGATTTATTTTATTTCTCAGAAGTTTAATTTTATTTATATACATGTGTCCGGTAATTGATGAAAGATGTTTTTTGTTCCTAACAGACGGAATCCGACGCGGCGGGGTGCGAAGTTACCAGACTGCTGAGGGAGTTGTGTGGCGGCGACGCTACGGGGTGAGTTTAGATGCCCTTTTAAATACATGTGGGGTTTTGTTAGTGCTGTATTATGTACAGTTATACTATGCACCTTTAGTACGTAGTAGAGCCACGCTGTAGCTATACACAGCTGTAGCACGAATGGGTCAGCTCGACTCGGGAAGAGCCACGTTTTCACATAATACCAGCGTGATAAAGCAGCTTAATGCTGCTGTGTTTCGTATGGTGAGTGTAGAGAACCGGTGATCCTTTTTACTGGAAACGATCATGACAACGCATTTGTATTTTGATTCTTAATTGAGTATAAAATATATATGTCTATGGACCACCTCATCCACTTACCAACAGGTAGACTGTGTGCTCGTTTGTCACCCTTATTCTATTTTAAAAATGACGGCTATGTAGCGCCAGCCAGGCGGTAGGCCACAGCGCATGGGTGACGCGAAGGGTAGAGCATGTAATACATATTTCAAAGTTTTTTTTTATAAGATAAGGTGACAAACAAGCACACAGTCCACCTGATGGTAAGTGGTTGCTGTGGTCCATATACATCTACATTTATCCTCCATTAAGAATATAAATGCAGATGCGTTGTCACCCCTGAGGACTGAGATGGAATGTCTCACTTCCAGTAAAAAGGGTCTCCGGTTGTCTACACTAACGCCATACGAAACACAGCGGCGTTCAGCAGCTATTTTACGCTGGTATTCTGTGAGAGCTTGGTCCTTTCCCGGTCTAGCGGACCCGTTCGTGCTAATATAGCTGCAGCATGGCTCTACCACGTAAAAAAGTCACCTAAGGTCAAGTAAGTCCACCTAAGGTAACAAAATTAAACTACAAATAAAAGTAAAAACAGACTTCAAATAAGTGAATAAAAAATAATAATTTCCATATAACAGTTTCCGACTTCAGAAGCCCTCACTTCAGTAGCCGCAACTTTTGAAGTTATATTTAGTTATTTTCCGAATTTTACTTTTTATTAAGAATTTAATTTTTCTGTTTACTTGCGTTAAAACCTTAAATAGAAATCCTTAATTTCTGTGAAAAAATTAGGTAATATATAGTAAAAAAAAAAATTATTATTATATTATCAACGATCCATTCGAATTTTAATAGATAAATGTCAAACAAAATGTTAATTTTATTTAGAGCTATTTGTTGTCTATCTGGGCAAAAAAAATAGGGCTCAAACTATTAGTTTTATTAAATCTTCGATAAGACTTATCCTGAACCAGGAAGTTACGTTACCATAAACATCTTTATTGTACTAACACCTAAGCGCGTTAAATAATTTTAAAAATTGCGCGATAAAACAATCAACCGTACCTCTATAATATGGATTAATTGAACTTCGTTATGCGGAAATGATCTAGTCAACGATGCGTCAAAAATGTGAAAAATTTATCAAACATTTTTGTTGATTAAAGATAAAGATCCTAAATATACGTCGTATCGAAATCAATAAATAGGCAATGATTAATAGTGTAGTGGTGGTGTAAAACTATGCACTACCCCATAACATCCCATAGGTGTCGTAAAAGGCGACAGAGGAGGAGATAGACCAGGAGACTGGCAGTGGAATCTTTCTAATAACAGCTGAATAAAAGTAAAATAGTGCAATTGCCAACCCGCCTGCCTAGCGTGGCAACTATGGCAAATATCCTCCTTACGAAGCAATCTATTTCGGCTTATGTTCAGCAGTGAACTTTTGATGGGATGTCATTGCAAATTGAATATACCGTAAACTGTTTAGAATATTTATTTTTCATTTTGTTTCTATGCTTGTGTGCCACTACTGGGACATGTCTCCTCTCATTTCTGAGATAGCTTAAGGATGGGGTAATATCCGCCGCTTTGCCACGATGTGTGGTGGCGAACATCAGGTTTTCTCACGATTTTTTCCTTCTCTGCCGAGCACGTGGTAAATCAGCACTTAAAATTGCAATTTACAATCTCTGCCTGACTTAAATTGTAACTTCATTTTTTATCTGCTCGCGTGTGTTACTGTGATATTTAAATGTTTTCTTCTTATCCGTCTATATCGTAATTCCTCGTTGAAGATGGATAATATTGTCTATAAGCCAGAACGGCCGTTTACCATTGGAACGAGCGCTAGATTTGAGTAGTGCGTAAATTGATAGTAGAATAGACAAAAGCCTTAACTCCTGCTGGTGGAACTTGGCGCCGTCGATGGGCTAGCGGCACGTGATGTAGGCGAAGTACTCCAGGTGTCATTTCTTATTCAGCGCCGTCACAATCTGCGAGAACACCATTTAACATCGATTTATTATTATTAGTGGTCGAAATCCGAATGTAATTCGTTGAACATTTAAGTTTGTATATTAAGCAAGCTTTATTTCAACTGTACATTAATATATGAAATACAATCTAAATATAAAATATAAACGCTTTTTTGCCTTGACATTTCAAAGACTCTAAAGACTTTGCAATCTTACAAAATTCACTTTATTTCTTTGTCACTTTATTTACTATAGTAATGTATATTTTTCCTTGCGAATAATATATTAGAGTATAAGTATTGAGAGGTAACAGATAATATGCCGAACTACACTATTGTTACCAAATTATAAATGAAACGAACAGCTCTCTTCTCAAAAACAAATATCATAATTGATTTCCCCTGTAACTTCCCATAGCAAAATACTAAAGGACGTAACCCAATGGATAGAAACATAATTTAAAATTAAAAACTTTGTACAGCCGACTTCAATATAAGCCACTTCAATATAAGTTATTTAAGAATAACTCAATAACCATTAGTCTGACCTTGATCAAATTTATGTGGGACCACACGAGAACTATCAGCTTCCATATAAAAAAAGAATCACCGAAATCGGTTCACCCTGTACAAAGTTATGAGGTAACACACACAAAAAAACATACAGTCGAATTGAGTACCGTCTCCTTTTTGGAAGTTGGCAGAAAAACAGAAACGGAAACTTTTTTTATTCAATGTAGATTATAAATAATACTTATTAAAAGTCACTCTTAAAACACACTGTTTAAATTACCACTGGTTCGGAAAAAAAAACGTCAGTCCTGGGAAGAACCAGCAAGAAAGCCAGCAAAACTTAAAAAAAAAAACAGTTTACAATCATTTATGTTACACAATCAACAACATAAAAAATAAACAATTAAAATACACTAAGCGCGCAGTTTCCACATCAGTTAACTGTCTAATCTTAACGTACTGCAAATGCAGCGGAACTCACTTCTTCTTCTTAATAACTGGCTTTACGGCTCTGGGATCTAGCCCTTCTGAGCCTGAAATTACAATATATTATAATAATTATCCTTCATAGTATACTGCTTCACAATATGTTGATGCGTCACATTGTGCAGCCCTTGGGAGATTTTGACGGCAACTTGAGCCAGCAGACAGCTAACGGTTGGCGATGGTATCTCAAGGCGCCTAAGCAGACAGACACCTTATTTTGAGAATCATATCACCATCAGAGCACTTGTTTCACAGTTTCCACTAATAGTTCACATGCGCAGACACTTAATACACAAAATAGCCATTACTTAAACAATAATACAGGAGCAGCAAACCGCCGCCGGTCAAATTCCCGCCAAAACTCCGCAGCGGAACTCAGTTTTGCCGCATGAGTAGAGATATGACCGTACAACTGAAGCTTAGAATCCAACGTAATTCTTAAAAATACTGTGTTGTAAATAGTGTTTGATATTGGCAGAAACGTAAACAATGAATGTTCATTATCTCATCAGTTATTTTCAATTTTCATTATATGTACTTAATATCAAGAACATTTATTACCAAAATGTCACAAAACGAAAAACTGGGTAATTAAACAGTTGATAGCTATACAAATAAATAAAATTGAAGTATCTGTTTGTAATGTCGAAATAACAGCTTTTTACTATACGCATATGAAAGTATATACGGTACTTATAACAAAAATACGATTTTTGAAATTTTTTTCTGTCTCTTTCATCTGTCTGTTTGTTCCGGCTAATCTCCGAAACGGCTGGATCCATTTTGACCGGACTTTCATTGGCAGATAGCTGATGTTATAAGAGGTAACTTAGGCTACTTTTATTTTTGAAAAAGAATTAGGGTTCTGCGAAAAAAAATTAAAGCCCATGAAATCCAATCGTAATAAAATACGCGCGAGTGAAGTCGCGGGGAACAGCTAGTCTAGCATCTGGGTTAGATAGTTTTGGCATAACTGCGTCCATTTGTAGATTGCGCGTTTAGTGTAGAGATTACATTAATCTATCAGAGCACCTCTTTTTCCTACTCTACCTTAAAAAGCGGGACGGATGCTCAATATCTCTATTAAGATTAACGAGACCGACTCTCCCACGCTCCTCGGCCATAACGGGCGCTCTGACTTATTACGGGCCACATGATCTTCCACGGTGCCGAGGTTTCTAAATTTGGAAACATAAGTTCACTATCGAAAGTATTCATGACTCGATGGTTCTTGTTATACCCGACCCGACCCACGTCTCAAGTCACCGTTTACGGTGTTACCACTTTGCCTTAAGGACTGGTATGACGCGATAATTAATTAAGGTTTGCGCTGTTTTTTATAAAAAAACTAAATACATTCAACCTGTCGTAAGATTTTCGAGAGAGATGATGTGGCCATTATTGTACTTTGTTATATATTTCATTTGTATTTATTACACCCTTTAAAATTTCCATTGCTAAACATACCCCCCCTCCTCATAGATTGTTTCATGGCATGAGGGGGGTGATCGTTAACTGAATAACAGTTAACTAAAACTAACGGTTTTATTTCTTAATTGTTCAGCGTATCAATCAACGATCGGCCTATGTTCAGCAGTGGACATGTGATGGGATCTACGATATGTCGCTAGATGCGGGTGGCTCATAACAGTGCTTTGGGGCTTTTCTTGGGGAATGCCTACGATCAGCGGTGGACTTGTGAATGGGATCTACGAAAAAGATCGTATTGCTTCCGGTAGATGGCCATATACAGTTAATATTATATAAGACAGTTTTGTAC